CAGGGGAAGGAGAGGCTGGTGCGATCCGGGCACAGGACTCCACACATTTAAAATACGGTGGTGTCATGAAACCAGGGGAAGGAGAGGCTGGTGCAATCCGGGCACAGGGTTCCACGGGTTTAAAATACGGTGGTGTCATGGAAGCCAGAAGGGGAGAACAGACCAAGGAGAGTCTGAGGAGAGAAAAGCTCAGATCGAGCGCCTGACTACCAGGGGCACCTGGCATGGAGGGTCCAGCAGGCGCTGTCATGGCGAGCAAGAGAAGAGGTAAATAACTGAAAGTGAAGGGAGGGAGTGCTGGATTTGGAGCAGAATGGCCACTTCGGGAGCTGGGGCTAAGCCTCCGAGACTCTGCCATCTCCGTTCCTAGCACACAGCAGCCATCTAGTGAAGGTGCCTGCAGGACTCAAGCCTGAAACACTAAGAATCAAAGGGGCAGTGCAGGACTCGCCTTCAGAGAGAGGCACGGTGGGTAACGTGTGGGGCATGAATGTCCCCAGTATGACGGTTTAACACCTGGGAATGAATGGAACATGAGGGAAGAAGGATGCTGAGGAATGAACTTCCCATGGAAACCTTGGCTCTTTCCATCAGGATGCACCTTTCTGAGGGTAGATAACAGAAAGAGGGAGGCTGAGGCGGGAGGATTGCCTGAGACCAGAATTTCTACAATAATAATAATAATAATAATAACAACAACAACAACAACAACAACAACAATAATTAGATGGGTGTGGTCGCATGTGCATGTAGTCCCGCCTACTCGGGAGGCTGAGGCAGGAGGATCACTTGAGCCCAGGAGCTCAAGGCTGCAGTGAGCTGTGATTGCACCCCTGCAATCCTACATAGGCCTCAGAGCAAGACCCTGTCTCTAAAAGTAAAATGAAATAAAAACAAAAAGAATCTTTGCCTTGTTGAAAAAGTCCCAGAGCCATCAAGAAGGTTCTGATGGCCCAAAGAGGGATAGTGTCAGCCCCCTCCACTAGGCAGAGTGTCTGAGTAGGGGGCTGCCCGGCACAGGAAGGCAGAGCCCAATTCTGGGACAACCTGCGCATCAAAGTAAATGACTAATGAATCACAACTTATTGAATAAAACAGGAAACTATGAGTTCATACTGATAACCATAAATGAACGAGTAAACTGAAAGTTGGATGGGGAATGAGATATTTACAAAGCTACAATGCACCTCCCCAGGCAACACTTATTATCAAAGGAGCCATTCTGCAGTGGAGAAGCTGGCAGATACCACCTTAATGAAGTGACCAAAGAACACCATTAGTAACAGATAAACTGACATCAAGCGGCATCTGCTAGGATGCACGGAGAACCCAGTCTCGCCTCTGTGACATCCCTGCCAGGCCTGGAATCTAACTATGAGAAAACAGCAGACACAGGCAAACTGAGAAGAGTCTACAAAACAGCTAGTTGTAATCTTCAAAAATATTTGGTCAGAAAAGTTAAGGAGTGTTTAGTTCTAGACTGTAGAAGATTAACAAACATGACAACTAACTACAACATGTGATCCTGAACTGGATCCTTTTTTGTTATAAAGGACATTATTGGTGCAAATGTGGCAATGTGAATACTCTGGTCTTGACTGTGACACAGCAGGATGTCCTTGTTGCTAGGATATTAGGATATATACCCCACGATATTCAGGAGTGATGGGCCATCAGGTTGGCAACTTACCCTCAATGGCTCAGGGAAAAATGAGTTCTTTGTACTCTACTTGCAGTTTTTCTACAAGTTTGATATTTTTTCCATTATTAAAACAAAACAAAACATAAATCTTACCCTTCACTCTCCAATTCTTCGGAGGCAATGGGAAGGACCTAAGACCAAAGAAATAGATTGCTTTTCAAATGTATGCTCAAAATGTTTGACCATAAATGAATTATTACTAAAATGGAAATAATTTTGAATTTGATCAATCTAATATAAAATTCTTAAACCTTATTTTTCAATAACCAGATTCTTATAGATGTCTTGAACTCCCCTAACTCAGTGGTTGTGCCAAATCTGGTCTAAAGCCAGTTTATGTAAATAGAGTCTTTACTGAAACAAAGCCATGCTCATTTATTCACATGCTGCTTATGGCCACGTGTACACTAGCGCGGCAGAGCTGAGCAGCACAGTGGAGACCGCGGGGTCCCAAAAGCCGAAAACCTTTACTGCCTAGCCCTTCACAAAAACAGTCTGCGAACCCCTGCTCACCTCCAGCTTCCCATTAGAAACTAAACGTACTGGCCACGGCTCCAAGAACTCTGACAAATCTTTAGTCCTTACGAATCTGTCCACAAAGTGCATGAAAGACTGTCTTTTTGATATTTATTTGCACTCAGCATAAAACCATGCTTCATTCTACTGAAGCTCCTATCTCTTGTAAGCCTTTGCCACAAAACAGGGAGTGACTATTTTTTAAAATTTAGCTTTAAATTTTAAAGCTAAGACATGCCAAGACATGGCCATTGGTAACTACATGTGGCAAGGACGGCTCAGTAACTGGAACCGTAAGAAAAGCCTTCGGATGTTCTTATGTTATGAGAGCTCCTTAACCTAGGTATTCCCCCAAGTTAAATCCAAAAAGAACACAGGCTCAAACTCCAAATTATGTGACTATTCTAGAATCTTTTAAATGAGTTAGGATATGTAGGTATGAAGAATGAACGAATGAATGAATACGAACAGAATAAAGTTGACAGGCTGCACTGCACCTTCCAATCAATGATGCTTACTATTTTTATTGCACGGGCATCATGTCACCCCAGCAGAATATGCCAAAGAGCTGACTAACTGGTCAAACCTCACTCAATTTTGGCTTCTATTTCCCATGAATAATGCCAAAGAATTTCCTTTTGCCATGCCTTCCTTCCTGGTAGCCTCCCCTGGGATCCTGGTTACCTACATGAGTGCCCCGCTGCAAGTTGGCAAAGTGCACATCAGGAATGAAGAGGACAGGCTGAGTATCGAGATCAATGAAGGGTTTGAAAACCGTGATATCCAGTCGCTTGTGAGAGGGAAGCAGTGGTACTTTAACATCAGAAACTGAAAAAAAAAAATTAACAAAGAGGAAGCCAAGGTCAAAGGATTACATACAGACTGGATGCAGGCCACAGAGCCCTCGCCTCTGTGTAAGACACTCCAAGT